GTGGGATTTCAGTCCACAGTCACATTAGGCTTTAACTGTCACCTATGACAGGACACCTCCCGGTCTGCTTCTGAAATTCAGTGCTCACCTTTAAAGTATTTCACAGTTTTAACTCTTAATTCTAAAGTGGCATCTTCGTCACACACAAAAATCGTCCGGGGATGCTGTTGGAAAGCCGAGACAGTCCACATGTGGTTGACTCCTTCTTCGATGGCCTTGTACAGGGCAAATGCCTTGTGCGCCCCCGTTATGAGGATCATCACCTAGAAAGTCGTGAACAGCGCTTGTTAATTAATAGTTAAAACGTGCTCAAATGAGTAAGAAGCTCTATTTTTTTTTTTTAAACAGGACATTAAAACCGATACTCTTCTGAGGAAAAAACAAAAATACACAGCTCCACGTTTCTTCACAGTCCAAGTTATTTATTTCTACTTTTTTAAGGTAACGTGCAAGAACCAAGTGCTTCTTCTGGTTTAACAGAGCAAAGCAGTTATCTTGTTATGGGTATTAGTGGATACACTATAATACCCATAATTATTAACACAGTAAATAATGCTATGTAAAAGATAACCTGGGAGAATGAAGAAAAAGAAATAAAAGGGCTATCTTGCAAAAGCAGAATTACAAGTCTTCTAACAATTTATATAATCTGGAACGATGCAGCAAATTGCTGTCGTCCAGACAAGCAATAAATACTTCTTCAGAAAAGCAAAAAGACTCTAAAACAACAGATACTTGAAAAGTAATCTAGAGAAGCCTGAAAGTCGTTTCACTGAACATATGCTATCTGACTGGGAACAAAAACTGATTTAGGAAGGATTAGGGATCTCCTTAAATATAGGAGCTGCCTTTTAAGCACACAGAACTGCAACTACCCTTACAAGCTACAGAAAATCCAAGCTCTTGGTCCCAAATCCCTAACCACCTATGAAATAATTAAGTAACATGTGAGTGTGTATGTATTAGAATGAATCTTCTCTTTATCATCTTTCAGCAGTAAATCAATCCCATTTTTACAACTCAAACTATGCACGTAAGTTTTTGTAACATAATAAATCTTTAAATTTGATTTTTGCCTTATTAGAATTGTTAAAAAATAAATGTTAAAGTGGCTGTAGTTCTAAAATATACCACATAGAAATTCTGTATTGCATATTTTATAACCAGACCTTCTAAAATAGGGGGAAATGAAAGATTAATGAACCAAGATATTGCAGCATTTCTTTTTTATCATGACTCACTACTTGATTTTCATTCTGAAGCTGTATCTTGATTAATTTAACTACTTATACTCATGAGCTGACTATAATTTGTTCTGTTATTATCAAAGAAGAAAATGACAGCCCAATCAAAAACTTAAAAATTAGGCACGGTCTACTGTTCAGAGCTCTTACATACTTAACAGTAAATGTGGAAAAGATCCAGACCTAGAGGGGTTCCTTTTCCGCTGCAACCAACTGCGCCATCCTACATGTAGTCAGGAAACACTTTACACTAAATCATCTCGGGGGCTCTAAAAGCAGTGTAGTGTACATAACTAATTAGCACTGCGTCTTTATCCCAACAGTCCTCTCACAAGACCATTTCAATTAAAAACAAACCGTGTGATTGGTAAGATTTTAGGACCTCAAACTGTCGCAGGAATAGGCAAATGAAGCAGTACCTCAAAAGCGGGGGCGAATTCTTAGTTTATGGCTCCAAAAGAGTTTATTTAGTTAATTTCTAAACATGGCAATGAGAGGGACAAAATGTAGTTACTAAAACTAGTAAACAATTCATACTGCAAGCAGAATGCAACCAAAATATCACTTATTCAGCATCGCAATACCTCCAAAATATATCAACATCAAAGGGAAAGCATCGAAGAACACTTAATTCTTACTTCTCTAGCGTCCATTACTGTCCCCACACCAACAGTTAGAGCCATAGTTGGCACTTTTGCTAAATCTCCATCAAAATATTTAGCATTTGCCAAAATGGTATCCATTGCTAGAGTCTTTAATCTTGTCCTTGATACTAAACTGGATCCAGGCTCGTTGAAAGCAATATGACCATCTGGACCAATTCCTTTCAAAAGAAACATACATACACACACATACACATAGAGTAAATAA